TGTACATCATCATCACTGAACGAGTGTCCACTGGTCTGTAGGTGTAAATAGACTGCGGAGTCCTGGCCTGACGAGTTAGCTCTTCTGTGTTTCGCCATCTGCTTAGCCAGTTGTTTGGTTTCTCCGATGTATTGGTGGCAATCCTCCTGGCACAGTGCTACACTACATTACTGTGTTTGTGTTGGGGAACCCTTGGGGTGGACCAGTTTTTAGGCGCAATGTGCTCTGAGGTTTGAAAGCTAAAGAGGTGCTGTGTTTCGAGAAAATGCATCTCAGCTGTTCTAATCCGGACACATAAAGGATCACTAATTTCGCTTAGGCAGCAGTTGTACTTCTCTCCCGGATCGCGTGTAGCTTTCTTTAGGCGCCCTCCCAGCTTTGACAAATGTGCAGCTGGGATGACCACATTTACTCAGGGCCTTCTTGGCAGGATGTTCTTCTTCTTCCCTAGCTGCTGTGTCTGTGGGGATGGTGTTCGCTCTGTGTTGTAGCGTCCTGATGACACCTAGTATGTGCTCCAGTGGAGGATGAGAGTCAAACCTTAAATACTGATCCGTATGCGTTGGTTTACGGTACACATGAACTTTTAAATGCCCCTTAAACCTTTCCCCACTGAAAACGCTACGTCCAGATGAACAGAATCAACTATTCAGATTTGTGCAAATCCCTCAATCTAAGAAGGCTAACGTGTCATTTTTCATATCCTCCCTAGTGAACTTGATGTGTGGTCCACCGAGTTAATCCATCCATTGGTGTTCCCCCGGATAAGCTGGAGGAGGTGGCTGGGGGGAGGGAGGTCTGGGCTTCTCTGTTTAGCCTGCTGCCCCTGCGACCCGGCAGTCCACCGAGTTAATGTGATCAGTGAATTTTGGTGCATCTGAGATTTCATTTTCACCCAGTTTTTATCCACATATCTGGTGTTCCAGCACAGGATAATAGAGCCCTCTTTTCCCCTTCTTCCATGTACAAGTTGCCACATTGGGTGAAACTGGGGAAGCCATGGCACACCCATGTTCCTGCCTGTAATACTGACCCTTGTGTGTGAAATATGCGAAATGAAGACACAATTCCAGAGCAAACATACTGCTGATACTGGTCCTGTTGTTGCTTGGATTAGTGAAAAACCTTTCCCCCACTGAAAACGTGACGTCCAGATGAACAGAATCAACTTTTTGGCACTGTGAATATGGTTAATATTGTTTGAGAGAATATCATATCAAGACGTTTGAATCTTGACAGCAGCTTTCCATGTAGCACCCACCAGACGGACTGACTTGGTGGAACTTGTTTTCTGACATTTAAATAAAAACAATCAAATGTCAATACACAAGTTGCTACCACAGAAGATTGTTAAATCTATTCAATTATTTGGGGAATCTGTATTGTAATTATAATACGTTTGGATTAGAAAAGTCAGTAGGTAACGTTCTTGATAAACAAGTTTCCAAGCGAGAGAGTCCTACATGAAATATGATAATATATGCCTTCAACGGCATATTTAGCCAGCGGATCTGTTTGGATGATGACTGTAAAGATTTCCACTGTGCTAAAAAAAACACAAGCAAAACATTTTCACATCTGTTTATTTGCCTTCTCCGAGTGGTACAGCTCAGGCTCCTACTGGATGACAGACGGGCAGATTAACTAACATATTTATAGTAGTTTGTTTATTAGAATAACTTATTTTATATATTTATACTGTTAGAGAGATTTTTTGCACATTTGCAGTACAATACAGTATTCAGAAAATACTGTATAAAAACAGTACTTACTAATACCTTTATAGCCATTCATTGGAATTCATGAAAATCTTTTAGCTGAGGTTTTCGAAATGTCATGATGTTTTGCACGTCAACACAAATGTACTGCTGTTTGTTAGGTCAGTTACATATTAAGCCCATATCAGTTCGTATCAGAACAGAAATGCAAACCTAACTGGGTAACCTTCGTAATTTGCTTTCATTGCTTGGCGGGCTGCGAAAGTAATTTGTTTATTTCCCTCATGCAACCTTCAGGACACAAGCGTGGCTTTGTGATAGGGAATAAATAGTCAGGATTTGCATTCTGCATTATGTAAGCCAAAAGGTTGCTTTGAGCTTTTTAGTTATGCCTTAAGGTGTCAAAATTAAAAAAGATTACACAGTTATTGTTATCTATGTTCAGTGCGACTGTAAAGGAAAATGACTGGAACGTTATTAGGTATTTCATGTAGCCAAACCTTTTTTTTAGCATTTTGCCTCTGTTGGATACCGATAGTGAAGATAGACAGGAAGAAACACAGCAGGGGGCTACTGCCGCTGCTTTCTGCCCACACGGCACGTGGCCTGTCGCCTCTAAGCTAAATCGGTGCCCACTTACAGCCCCATCTTTGACACAAACTGCATTTGTGGTCAGAATGGGCATGGATGTCATGGTAATTGTGGGATATTAATGGTTTCTTTGAACTGTTCTTTTTCTAAAGTGGAATGATGGTACAGCATACATGACTTTCTTTAATTTTCTTTTTTTTGCCTGTCCCATTTGGTTCATTAGCCGTCAGAATTGTTGTCTGAAAACCAACAAGGATACCCAATGGATTTACTTTGCCAAATGGATCATCGTGGCATTGCCGTACTGGTCCATTTGATTGACCTTTGTTGTTATTATTTATTTTATTTTATTTTATATCTTATTTTATTGAGAAAGGGCACTTAAAAAGAGAAAGAAGAGAAAAATATCTCCTGGATCACCTGTTGAGAGAAAAAGAAGAGAAACAAGCAAAAAAAAACATACTAAACACAACACCATCGCATTAGCTAAGTGTAAACAGCAGTAAATACTAAATATTCAATGTTGTTGTGCAGCACGCAGGACCGACAGTGCACAATGTGCTTTGAAGTAGCAGCCAAGAAAGGTGCAGTTTTCAAATTTATCTGGGCTAGTGTAGATGTAGCCTTGTGGAGGAGTAAAGGTGAGGCTTTTGAACTTAAGAACACTGTAGAAAATACAAAATAAATTCAAACTTGAGCACCCAATTCTTGTTTCGTAGTCATTAAAGATGTATGTATTGACGGAATTATTATAAACCACAAATTACCATGTCAAGCCCATGAGGAGCGGATATAAAGTAAAGGTTTTAATATGCATCCCTGAGGCACTATCACAATTACAACCATCTATTTCTCATTGAACCTCAATTCAATGCATATAGTCACACACGCGCACACACACACACACACTTTATTCCTTTTTTTAAATATATGAATACACGAGTTACTGGGGACAAAATACAGGATAACATTACAGGAGCATCTGTGTTCACGCCTACAGTGTACATTTTGTTCCAGCCCATGACAATAGGTGCCATTCTGCCAGCTGTGGAAACATAAACTTTGAGACGTGGGCCCAGTTTATTTGCAAGTCAAAGCAGGGAAGCAGATACGAAAGGTATATTTGTCAGTAACATGTGATGTCTGTAAGCTGGACGTGAGTTGCTGTGAAATTCGACAATGCAGAACGCATTCTCATTTGGGAAATAGAAGCCGGAACGTACTTAAATTCTCAGGCTGTGATAAGCTAAGATTCATTTGAAGATTCCCATTTCTCTTTAGGAAAATGTTACCAATGGATGTAAATCATCGCCGGACGCTTGCTGCGAAGCTTCTGTTTTATGGGATATTCCTCAGCAACCACATAAGTGAGGGTGGTAAGTTCAACAAAATGTAGCTTAAAAGATTTCTCAATATCAACTCATAGTCAGATTTTTCATGTTGTCAGTTTTCACAGGTCCAAATGGAGACTGCACACCCAAGAATACCCTCTTTATCAGTAATGAAACACTAACTCAACAATATTTTCCATCACGTAAGTTCAAAAATAATGAAGGAAAAAATACGTCTTTGAAAGGTTCAAAGAAAACAATAGTACCCTGTGCTTTTAGAAATGATTATTAAATAAATAAGAATACATATAATAAATAATTGTTATATTTTAGAAACTATCTACCGAGAGGTCAACGGACCTAAACTCTGTTTCAACATCCAGCCAAACAATAGCCTTGCAGGTACAGTTATCTAATTTTTGTTTTTTATATTTCGGACTGTTGGTGAAAAAAGTCGTCTTGGGTATTTGCTAAAAGTGTTTGATTGTTTCTGTATTTGTCTTAGATTGTTGTAGCGAAAACAATTTCACCTGTAGCCTTAAAGTAAAAGGAGACGGACCAGGCAAATACATCCTAAATGCAACTGAAGAGATTTTATCTAAGCAAGATATTGTGGTGATGAAGAAGCCACAGTATGATTATTCGTGTATGCCATCACAGGTCTACAACAAAAGCAGCCCTGGTAAGCCTCTAAGACATGAGACTTTGCACACAATGGTCATAATTTTCAGTTTATTTGAAAAGGTTTCCAACCAGTGATCTGACGCACTTCTTACTTTGTTGCAGGTTTTCTTTATAACATCAACCGCTGCTTGAATGAAAGTAAATTCACAAACCTTTTCCTCTTAATTTCTACATGAAACAACGTGACAGCAGTGACAGTGCACAAGTTCTAATTTCATACTTTTATGTGTTGAAGGTTCCAAAAGCATTAGAGTGAATACTGACAGTTGTTTAGATAATGAAACCAATACCAGAGTGGCTTGCAAAGGTATTATGTTGTTTATTTAACAGGATCATTAAAAAAACAACATTTTAGTAAGTACTGTGATAATAAGAGAGCACGGGGTTGAAAATTTAATTCCTGCTTTTTTCCATGAATGTTTGTATGTGCCTGTGCTATGCAGATGTAACAGAAACACACTACGTTATCTTTGACAATAAAACATGTGTGTTATGTAAGAAACCAGTCTTGAAAAGTCTAGACAAAGAGATTAATTATACCCTGGAGAAAATTCCTACCAGCCCAGACAAAGCAAAGTAAATATCTCAGTTTTCTACAGAACAATAACAGCAAATAAAAATAAATACACGCTTTTGAAATCTGCTCTAAAACATTAACGGTGTGTCTTACAGAGATGCCATGAATGTTCTATCATGCTTGTTTAAAGAGCTGGGTAACGCCAGCACAGCAGCAGTGAAAATGGGCAACATTACAGGACTGATTGCCAAACTGCCCCAGGAAAACCAAACCAACATGAACTTTGTCTTCACAAAAAACTCTGGAGTAAATGTAAGGTGTTTGTGCAACACAATTTTATGACCTTCAATTAATAATATTATTTTGTTCTTCTTTTGTTATTTTTTTGTTTTACTAATATTTTTAAAAGTCTGTTGAAGAAGAAAACAGCAATTCTTTGACGGGCCCATTTCGTTTAATGAAAATTCCTAAAGAGGCCAGTAAAATGGCGGTGGAGGGAAATGGATCATTTCTTGGGATTCTGCTCTTTCCAGAAATGCATGCGGTAATAGTACAGCTGAACTAACTACTCATGATCTTTATAAAATGTATAAACATATTGACCAAACCTGATCTATTAACAATCTTTTAATCTTAACAGGATGACAGCAGTAAATACTATTTAAACAGTGAGATAGTGGGAATAGAAATGGGGGCAAAAATACAAAACCTTTCACAACCCATCGAGATTCAGTACAGTAATGTGGACAAGGTAAGTGTGATGTCATAACAGAAATAATGATCAATTTAAGTTCAGAGGAAAACTTATTCTGATTTTCATTTTCTATTTTGATAAAGAAAGGAGCGAATGCTTCTTGCATGTCTTGGGATGGAAACAGCACAGATGCAAACGGTAAAAACCCCCAAATAGATCTCTCTATATATATATCTAATTTTAATATGAAAACCACAGGAATTAAAGACCTTTGAAGTGTTCACTCACATTTTGCACACACGCTGATTACTGTGATAAAGTCTGTCTTTAACAGTTACTTCTTTGTATTACTGCTGTCCAACAGGGAAATCACTCTGGATCACAGATGGCTGTCAAACAGTGGAGACCAATAACAGCATCACCTGCCAGTGCACACATCTAACCTTTTTTGCCATACTCATGGTAAGACAGCTGTATAGGAAATAAGAAATGATTTTTTTACAGCACATACTGACACATAACTATTTGAACCTAGTCACCTACACCTGCAAACATTAGCACTTCTGATGTTAATACTCTGACCTACATCACTTCAATCGGTTGTGGACTGTCGCTGTTTTTCTTGATCGTCGGTCTCTTCATGCACGTTCTCGTCAGGTAAGAGATCCGAGGCAGTTTGGAGTTTGGATTTTTACCTCAGTAAAGTCCTTTTTCTTACGCACACTAATTTGCTCCACAGAAAGGGGAAAGCAAGCGAAGCAACAAAGATTCTGATGAACCTCTTTGTCGCCATGTTGATCCTGAACTTGTCCTTCTTGACCAATGAGAGCATTTCAAACCTGGGTATCAAAGGTGCATGTGTGGCAATAGCAGCAGTTCTGCACTACGGGATGTTGGCCACTTTTACCTGGTTCTTCATGCAGGCTTTACACTTGTACCTCAGTCTACGTCGAATCTGCACTGAAGTGAAACATTACATGCTGAAGATTTGCATCACAGGATGGGGTAAGAGACCTGAGCCAAAAATGATACTTATGCTCTCATATTATGAATAATAATCACAGGAGAATTTATATTCCTAATCTTCTCTTTAGTCATACCGGCTGTGGTGGTGATCGCTCTTCTTGCCTCCCAGAAATATAATTCTATTAATATTAATACAAATGAGGGGAAAGCAGCAACAATGTAAGTCTGTAAATCTGATAATAGATTTCTTGGATAAAACACAAACATCTTCATCAGAGGATCACGTTGTACTCCCTTTTTCAGGTGCTGGATCTCTGATGCTGGTATCCACCAGGGGGTCAACATTGGTTATTATGCTGTAGTGTTCGTCTTCACTCTGAGTGTATTCATTCTAACTGTAAGGCAAATCGTTCTAATGCCAAAAGCAGGAAAGGCCCAAGACAATAGTTCCATTAAGAGCAATACTTCCACCATTCTGAGCCTGTTCCTCCTTCTTGGCATCACCTGGGCTTTTGCTTTCTTCAGCTACGGACCTTTGCTCATCGCTTCCTACTACATCTTTACCATCCTCAACTCCTTTCAAGGTAAATCTAAAACTGTCACAGTGAGCTGACTTCATTCTTTATTGGATTAAAAGTCCTTAACCTTCTTCTTTATTTGTATAGGTTTCTTCCTGTTCATCTACTATTATAAATCCAGCAAGATTATTGGAGACGGCAAAATCCACACACAAAGTAGCAGCACAGCTACATCAAACACAGCTGTAACGTCTCCTTATGCATAAGGCTTGCTGTTTTACCATATTTTGACACAAGAGGGCAGCATTTTATTTCATATAGTTCCAGCAGGTTGCTCTGTGTAGAAACAACTTGGTCATTCTTCCCATGTGCTCTCCGCTGAATGGCTTTTCTGACATGAAAGCACTAACCCAGATTACCTTCTTTGACGCAAATACTCATGTGGACTAGAGCTCGAGTCAGTACTCTGGAAGTCATTTCAGAGCACGACTCTATGTTTGTTCCCATGCTTTTATATTTTAACAGACAAACTTGTCTTACTCACGCCAAATAATTCATAGAAGGCTGTGATTCAGTCAGAATACGCAACCACAATTGTAAACATGTCAGGATGTTAAGGTGTAAAATGTTAAAGTGGGAAAGTGAAACATGTCAAAGACATAAGGACATTTTCAATTTGATGGCAGTAACACCTCTCAAAAAGTTGGGACAGGGACATGTTGACAACCCGCTTTCACGTCAAAAAGTCGTCATAAATAAGTCTCCAATAACACCAGAAAAAGTCGCCAGATTTGTCGCTAGTTGCTTTTTAGAAAAAGAGTCGCTAAGGGGGTCTGAAAACTCGCTAAATATAGCGACAAAGTCACTAAGTTGGCAACACTGGTGCTACTGCTGTTGCGAGTGTAACTACCGCCCCCGCCCCCTCAGCTCAGGGAGGGGCGCAAACACAAGGCTTTGTTTGCTGTCTCTGCTCAGCGCAAACACAAGGGTGACTTGCAGCATAAAGTGAAAGAGAGGGCAAGAGAAAGAAAAAAAAACCCCACGGCTCGCATCGTTCACTTCAAAGATACGGCTCTAAGAGCCATTTCGTTCGCGGCCGACCCATCACTACAAGTGATATTCCTAAAACTTTTCCACTCAGGGGCCGAGTCATTCTCTGAGATCTGCTGCTGCATCTTCTCAGAGCGCTGATGTTTAGCAATGTCCACTTCTTTAGTGAACCTGTACTTGGCCTCTCTGTAGCAGTCCCTGTCTCCGCTTCTGCAAGCCACAGCTTTTTGGGTTTAGGAGTAAAACAGGGTTTGTCATTGTTATAACTCACCCTGGTGCGTGATGGCACAATGCTGTCCTTGCAGAAGTGGACATAGGAGGTGACAGTGTCCATAAACTCATCCAAGCTGTTAGAAACAGCCTTCATTGTGTCCCAGTCTGTAGACTCCAAACACGTGCAAAGCTCCTCCACAGCCTCATTGCTCCACAGTTTTTTAGTCCTCATGACAGGTTTGGAGAGCTTCAGCCTCTGTCTGTACGTAGGGATCAGATGGATCATGACGTGGTCAGAAAGTTCGAGTGCAGTGCAGGGTAACACTGGTCCAGTGTCCTCTCCTCTCTGGTCGGGCATTTAATATACGGTTTATATTTGGGAAGTTCCTGGCTTAGATTGGCTTTGTTTAAGTCCCTAAGAGCCATAATGACAGTGTCCGGGTAGGTCTGATCCATGTGCAGTACCTGCTCCTCGAGGGCACACTGAGCTGCATGCAAATCTGCATCTGGCAGAATGTAAACAGTGGCCATAAAGAATGAAGCAAACTCCTGCAGAGATTAAAGCATAGAAGATAGTGCTTGTGTGAATGGTGCATGTTGCATTGAGTGCTTTGAGTACCCCGGGAGAGTAGAAAAATGCTATTTAATAATCTTAGCATTCTCTTGTTGAAATATCCAAGCAATTCCTCGAAAAAGATGATGTCTGCATGGGAGAACATGTTGATATAAAACCTTTACATACAGTACCTCTCAGGATTGATGGTGCCTTTTCAGATGTAAAAGCTAGGCATTAAATTTATGGTGAGGATCATTATTCTTTATTCACTATTCTGAAATTGTCCCACAATTTGAAGACAACAGCATCCACGGTGGGGAAAGCTCAACTGGCAAACAAGACATGAGCTCAACACTACCTATAGTGATAAGATCCCTGAAGTTATTCGGATGTTGAAACTATTCTTTAAAATGTACCACATTTTATGAGCATATGGATAGGATTATCTCCCTTTTTCTTTCTCTGCACTACATATTTTATTTTGTATATATGTTACTTATTTATTGTGTTTTGCCTGCCTTATTTTAGTATCACAGTGGGACAATTTTGTTGTACCCATATATACAAAGTACAACTGTGCAATGACAATAAAGAGTTAAATATGTTCAGTGTATTTTGACAAACTCCTTTGCTTGTGGTAGATTTTTTTGTCAAGTTAATCATTAGTATTTATTTATAAAATAGCTTTTTGAAATAAAAATTATAGCAATTCTTTAAAATTTACCATATTAAGGCAAATTAAGGTCTGATTTGTTCAATGACTTTTTACTATGTTAATATATTTTTCATTCAGAAATCTTCTGATTGGCTTTTTTAGTTCTCATTTTTGTGGTTTTATTGTAGTAGTAAATGGAAATGTTGTAATAACTTTTTTTCTATTTGATCAGGACACAATATTTCATACATATAAGTAAAGTATTGTGGGAAAAAATGATGTGTATACACAATAAAGTCTTAAAATAAAAGATTATGCGTTTCTTTAAATTTTGGTTATTAATGATTTCTTCAAACTACTCTTTTTACAGTGTGTAATGATTGTACCGCACATATCTAGAGTGATTTTATAAAATAACTGAAAGTTGCAGCAGTGCACATGGACAAGCCAAATGCATTCTGGAGAAGGGTTTTATGGTCAGACTAGACAAATACTGAGCTATTTGGTCACAATGAAGAGAAGCACATTTAGAGGAGTATAGGGGAGTACCAGCTGTCAAACACGATGATGCATCCTGTAGGATGAGCATCATTCTCTGGCACAGTGCTGTTTGTTATGATGATTTCTGATATGAGGTTCAGTTCTACGGTGATGATCGCAGGGTGTGCACAGGTCAAGTGCCACTATGACCCTCCAGAAAATAACGAGGACAGGGGATGATCGTTCAGCTCTTTAATGGCAGATTTAGCGTGGGTGTGGGTATGTGTGTGGTTCTACAAACAGAATGGAAAATAGAACACAAATTACAATCAAATTATAGACAACAATAATCACCATATAACATATTACAGCCACATACTTGTCT